GGTAAAATTTTTTTCTTTAAAAATTTTGATAATTCAAATTTTATTTTGACATAAATCCATAGTGTGTTGACATAAAGTTACTAAAAAATTTTTTATACTTATTCAGAAATAATGCAAATGTTAGGTTTCAAATTGCTAAATTTAAAACCCAAAATTAAAAAAATCAAACCTTAGAATACTGAGTACCATTTCGATATGCTGTAACAACATTGTTTTTCGATAAGTGAGTTCCATATTCGCTTAATACGTCTTGATTATCAGATAAATCCTGCGCTATAGTCACGTCATCCGGCACGTAATCACTAATGATATAATTCATCGTTGGATTCAAACCCATTGGTTTCACAACTAATTCCAGCTACAAAATATTCATGATTTTCACAGTGTGTATTTTTTTGCACTATTTTATACTAAAACAATACATTCATAATAAGCGTATATTTGAGTATTAATAATGTTAACGGTTTGCAGTCTGCCTTCTACTCCTATAAATGTATCAATTTAAACATTATTTTAGTTCAAATTTAGAAGACAAAAAATATTTAAATTTTTTCAAATTTTATCGACTATTTTGTTCATTTTAATACCAAATAATTAAAATACAATTAAGGTATTTATTACTGAATACTAACGTTATTGAGCAGTTGTGCTTTTGTAATCTATAACAGTAATTCAAACTTTGCATTTTTAACTTTTTTCTGGTAAATTTTTTAGGATGAAAATTAGTATTGTTTTTGTTTTTGTTTCGGTTTGCGTGAGTAGGAATCACTTTTATCGTTTGAATTTCTTATATTCCAAAAATATTTGATATCACTAAGTCTCATTATTAAAGTTTCACATGTACCAACCGCTTCTTGGAAGGCATTTTTTAAGTTTTCTGTGGCCTCTTGAGGTGTTTTCGGCTGTCTAGATACGACTGGTCTTGATAAAACTTTTAAGATTTTTTCTTTTTCTTCATCAAATGAGGCTATTGATTCTTCCTCTTCAGCTGACCCATCAGATTCATCTGTCTGAGGATATTCACCTGTCTCATCAGATTCATCTGTCTCTGCAGATTCATTTAAATTTTCTACTGCATGTGTCATAGTTGTTTCTTCTACTACTACTATTTCTTCTGGCACTTCTGTGTGAATATTTGTTTCTGCGATTGTTGCTTCTGTGGTTGTTGCTTCTGTGGTTGTTGCTTCAGTGGTTGTTGCTTCAGTGGTTGTTGCTTCTGTGGTTGTTGCTTCAGTGGTTGTTGCTTCAGTGGTTGTTGCTTCAGTGGTTGTTGCTTCTGTGGTTGTTGCTTCTGTGGTTGTTGCTTCTGTGGTTGTTGCTTCTGGGGTTGTTGCTTCTGGGGTTGTTGCTTCTGTGGTTGTTGTTTCTGTAGTTGCTTCCGTAGCTCTTATCGACTGTATCGTATTAATTGCTTTTTCTGTAGCTATTGCTATTGCTTCAGTAACCGTTGATTCTGTAGCTACTGGAATTATATTAATCCCGTTTCTTGATTTAACATTAACAGTATCTGAAAAAATAATTCTGTCATTCTTTCAAATATATATTCAACTTTCATAAGCGTAGCAAAGCTCGTTTGTATATTTGTTTTTAGAACTATAATTTTTTTTGCAAATATATCTTAAAATGTATAAAAAATGCACAGAAATCGGTTACTGTTTCGTGGAAGAAAAGGACTGTATCCATGATGTTGATTTTCTGGTGGTTGCAAAAGTCTTTGAATTGCTGAAATTATAAATACACTTTTGATGAATTATATTTGATAAAAATTATAAATAAAATTATGAAAAATTGAAATATAAACGTTTTTTTAGATTACTGTATACTTTTATATATTGTATAAAAGTATACAGTAATTCCATAAATTAAGGGAAAAAAAGTCTACCTCTGTCTGCATTAAATGGTCCACATCCATAAGATAGTGAAAAGATTATGCACAGAACTGCTGTGAAAAAAAGCATGCTTACACTTTTTGCTCACAAACTAATCAAGATGTATCAAGCCTGGATAAATTAATTCAAATTTTAGGCATAACACAAAGCACTAAATAAAAACTTGAATATTAATGGAAAAGCGCAAAATATGTCAATTTGTGCGTACTAAACAATCGTTATTAATATATTTACTAAAAAACAACAAATATTAATATAATATCGAATATAATTATCAAAAGATTACTGATTACTGTAAAATTTATTGACTAGTAATTATTAAAATGTATAAAATATGAGCATACTTTCTAGTACTGAAAAAATTAAATGGAATGCATATAAAGTATGTAATTCAAAGAAGTATTTATAAAAAACAAATTAAGAACAAAACAAAGTGTTATTAAAAATTAATAATTTTAAAATAAAAGCAAATATTTTTTATTATTCAATTTACTTAAATATATAATAATTAAAAACTTTCAATTTTGATATATTTGAAATTTCAAATTTGATATCAGCCGAAGAAATTTGATTTATCTATAAGAAACGTGAAGACTTGACTTTAATGAAATGATAAGTTACGTGATGCCTTCATAAACACTTTATATGTGCTTCTTAAGCAAAATGAAAGCTTCCTTATGACTTAAACAAAACTTTTTATTTCATTCATTTTATTTTTTTATTTTTTGCTTTTGCAGTAAAAAAGAGCAAAGAGTAAAACTTAAACATTTTTTAATAAAAGTTTCTTTGAAATATTTACTTTATCAAATATTACATTCAATTTTTATGCAAGAATTTATTATTGTAATTGCTTACTTTTCTAACAATGCTATCATTGTATAATTCTATTTTATTACAATTTTTAAAGTTGAAAAATCATTTTATTTTGATAATAACAATTTTGTAATTCAAAATTATCGCAAAAAAATTGTAATTTGTTTATTTAATATAAAAGTATTTAATTTACAAATATTTTTATTAGTAAATCTTTTTTATTTTTTCAAATTACTTTTTGCAACTTTAAAATTGAAAAGCAAATATTAGTCTCAAAAAATGCATGAAGATTGATGAATTTCAAGTAATTTAAGTTTTAAACTATAATTTTTACAGTTTAAAACTTAAATTACTTTAAAACTTAAATTTTTGATATTTTTTCAAAATATGATGTTTTTAAGTACTGTATTGATTTAATGCAAACTATTATACTTCAATATTTTATGTGACCTACAAAATAAGTATTCTTACATTCAATACGAGTAAATTTTGTGACAAAGTTTTTTTCTTCCAATTTTCAAATAATTTTTATTGACTATTAATTATAAATATATATAATTAATATAATTAAATGCGAATATGTTTTAAGACTTCAACATTTAAATAATCAAAAATTAAAACTAATTGTCAGAAAAAATGGTTAGTTTGTTTAATTGTCAAAAAAATGTTCAGAAAAATGTTTAAAAAATGTTTAATTTATGGCTTTATTTCAGCAAATTGAATATTTGAATAATCAGAAATTAAAAGTGATTGTAAAAAAATCATATTCAAATATTACTTTTAAAAAATTTTCAAAAATATATCCTTCATTTCATAGCTTTATTTTAACAAAATGGCAAAAATTCAATGTACTAATTAGAAATATCTCACAAATATCCTTAAAATTAAAATCGATTCAATATGTGTTAATTTCGAATTTGAAAACTTCTATGGACAATAATATTTATAGAAACAATCAGTATGAATTAATCATTTGAAAATTAGGAGAAAAAATTATTTAAAATACTTTTTAATTATTTTTGAAATTTTCTGAGGTCTTTTACAGCGATTAAACTTCAAGCATTAGCTTCAGAAGTCATTGCGCACTGCTAATTTTAGCTAATCTCACTGCGAGATTACTTGTCAGTTTTCGGAAAGTGAATAACTTCGATTTCACTTTAGGACTTTAAGTAATCAAAATAGAATTTATTAAATTTAATTAATTAAAATTTTTGATTTCAAATATTTGTTACAAAATTTACTCAATTCGAACTTTTTGCAGCTTTTGCAGCTTTTTCGTCGGCAATTCTTTTTAAGACTTTTTGTAAACTTTTGTAAACATAAAAAAGACAAACAAAAGTTAACCTAAAGAAAAGAATAGATTAAAGCAAACAAGTAAAAGTAATATGACAGTCTGAATTATTTATTCTTTACTTAGCACAAATATTTATACAAATTATAACTTATAAGAATAAATGGTAGTTATTTTATTCTTATAAGTTTAAGAAATGAAATGTTTGAGAAAATTTTAAAAAAAAGTGTAATCTTTCAAATCTTAACTTTCTAAGGTTATATTGGACTATTTTTGATCACGTAAGGTTAAATAGAGTATGACGTGATTGAAAGTGACTTTTTGATCATTTCAGATAGTCTAAATCATTAGCTCTTACAGAAGAATATTACTGCTATGAATATCAATATCAGTGTAATCATCTTCTTCGCTCTTGCTACTGCTGCTCACGCCTGTTCTGCAGATTTATGGAATCGAATAGGTCAAATTTTTGCGCACTTAGTAAAATTAATTTTGATGCAAATATAATAATTCGATTTAATTACTGGTCGATTTATAGTAAGGCCACAAAAATCAAATTGAAATTTACTAATTCACTTTAATGCTGCCAAAGTCTACAATTTTTTTTGCTCCATTAATATCTTAATTTATTTCATTATCAATAATTATCATAGCTATTACAGTATGCCATATTAAATATATTGTGCAGTGCTAAATAAACTTATTTCCGTGTTATTTGTATAGCATTAGTTTTCATATTTTTTGCTAATAGCAAATCATTTTTATTTAAAAATGCCACAGCGTTTTTTGCACATTTCTACTGAGGAAGATTTGATTCGATCAAATTTGATTTGAATCAACTTTTCAATCAATTCAATCAACATTTTGAGGTATGCTAGGATTTCCTCAGTTGAATCCATTATCAGAAATGAATGAAGAGATAAATGCCATTCGTACTGCCATCAAAACTGATCCACTTTTCTGTCAGACATTTCCTTTAATATGCGAACGTGTAAGAAACGCGGAACTTCGAGGATTTTAATCTCTGAAGTTATGATTTTCTTCTCGAATTATAAGTAAGATTGATTATACTTTGCATAAATATTTCTTTTTAAATTTAGTGCTCACATATTTTGACAGTATTAATAAGTAAGTAAGTAAATAAATAAAAGTAAGTAAAATGAATTTGTAGCTAATACATATACTTAGTGAGTATATGTTTTGTATGGAATTTAATAATCAGATATGGTTAAAAAAACACTGTTAAAGTTTATTACTTTTTATCAAAGTTAGATATTTCTACTAAGGACTGAATAATATTTACTTTTGTTATAAGCGCAATATTTTCAAAAACATTTGCGCATGCATAATCGTATCACTGATAATGACGAATGATTGTACTGATTTCAGATTCCATATAACTACAATCAGTTAATTATCATATCATAAGCTTGTAAATAGGTACTTATTTACTAGAATAAGTATACAAATAATTATTGCTTCTAAAAAGATTATTTGATTTGATAACAATTTTTTGATACTTTTCAGAAACAGGTGCTAAATACTAGTGCGAATTTACCATTTTAAATTATTTTTCGAATTAAAATTAAATTCAGAAATTAAAACAACATTATACTTTTAGCTTTAATTTAACAAACCTCTTAACTGTTTACTTCAGAACAATTTTTTCAAATCAAAATACCTTACTTGACAAAACTTTTCTATAAAATACAATATTTGAAAAAAAAAGATAAAACGTTTCTGCTTGACAGATTAAATTTGCATATGAACAAAAATTTGCATGTGAACGCAAATTTGCATATCTCAATGCTTACTTTTCTAAAATACTGATTTATAAAAACATTTATGAGCTGCATGAATTGCAAACATGCAAACCGCTAATATTTAGGCAAGTATGTATAAAAATTATTGAATTAACACAAGTAAATTTAGCAGTGGGCATTAAAAAAGTTACCACAACGTGTATACTTTTTCAACTTCAGCAGTAATGAACTGAAATTTAAGAAATATGCATATTTATTATTTTTGAAAATTCTTTTGAGCAGATTAACATGTACCCAAAGATCCATTCCAGATTCCGTTCTTGCAAACGATCCACTTGTTATTCCCGAGAGTTGCACTCAGAGGACAGTTTAAACGAGCCTTCGTACCATGTGGATATGTTTTTTGATTCAGAGTAGTTGCTTTCTGAAAATAATTGAATATCAGTTGTTTTTGCTAATTTGCATATTTTACTGCAATTTCCATCACTTACTTTATGATTAAACTAAATTAATGATTTATTTAAATGCAAATACTTTTGAAAAATTTTATAGACTTCAGTAATCTTAGTTTTGACTTTTATTTACAGCAAAGTAAGATTTGGGATTTGTTCTGAATGGATAAGTTTTCCCGAGATTATATTGTATAAACACACTGCTTAATATTTCAGAGGGATAAAGTTATTACTATTAATGCAATGTGAAAAGTAGTACCATCATGTTATTAATGATCACACAGTATCCATGCTATTACATATTAAATTAATTTCAACTTTTCTATCATTTAATGAATATTGTAATTATTCTACGAGTAATGTAGAACTGTATAGATATAGCAAAACAAAAATATTTCAGTAAAATTGACTGATTAAAAAAACGTTATAAAAACTTACTGGTTGATAAATAACGTGTGGTATCACAGGATTAACTGCTTGGCATGGTTTATTGATAGTATTATTTCGAACACACTTGCCTTAATACAATAAAATATAGCAATTAAAGTAATTAATGAATTAATTATAATTTGCTTTTTATGAGCAACCACATCTTCAGTAATAACAATCAAATACTTATACAAATTGCTTAATCCATCATTGTTTTAAAAATTTGAGCTTTATGCACAGTAATAGCATCATTTTCTGAATAGGAAATAAATTGCTAATTATTGTAATAGAATACATTTCAATAATTTTTTAATAAGCATAAAAAATGTAACGTACCAAGTGATCCAACCCATGATCCATCTGAAGAACAGCGCACAATTCCGTCTGATATAGTAGGAAAAAAGCCTGGAGCACACTTAAGCGTTATCAGTGTTTGATACTGATTAAGTACTAATTTATTTGCTTGCGAATATATCAAGAATCCATTTGGTACCAAAGGATGTGGAGGGCATATAATAGCTGCAAAATATAAATCGCTAACTACCAGAAATTATCATGAATAATTTTATTTTAAAATGATAATTTCTAGTTTTTTGTCTAAAAATATAATTTTACTGAAATTTATATTTTGCTTAAGAAAACAAAAAAGATGTAAGGATAATCTTTCATGTTTTTTAGAATTTAGTAAAGTTTCTAATTGAGTGTGAAATTTCTTGTTGTTGTGATACTTACAGATGACGGGATTTCAGTTCGTTCTTCTGTTTAAAATATGTATATCCGGGATATTTTAAGTTTTGATTATATTTCAAGAAATCTTTCAATAATTCAAATTATTTCAGAAGTTATAAAACGTTTGACTTACTCGCTTCAGAAAAAAAAATTGATATTAGTACCATGTAAACCGGCACAGAGAGTATTCTGTACATTCAAATATATAATCAAGTTGATAATCCGAATGATAGAGAGCTTATATTTCAAGTAATAACTAAATACATCCAAAATTCTAAAATAAATTGTGAGCAAACAAAAAATACGTTAAAAAATATAATAATTTATTGATCGGAAATAAATGTAAGTATGAGACTTAATAAAACGTACGTCATAGACTTATACGTAATGAGCAATATTAAAATATACGTTTATGCATACTTTTGGATCATATATTTCTACGTTTAGCAGTTATAACTTTAACGTTTGCCAAGTTACGGAAATGTTATTTGCAACAATTTAAACATACTTATGTCGATGAATATTATTTTGTCACAATAATTTGCCAATTATAATCTCTCAAAGAATTGTCATGATAATCTTACGTGATTCAGCAATAATATGGCTCACAATTACTCATTCAAATCATTTTATTTTTTAATTACTGATGTAAATTTGAAAAATAACTCAATTTTACAATGTAATTGGTGTTTCACGTGATTTTACGTGATAGTAATATCAGACATAACAATGTAAAAAATTACTCTTATATTGATTATCAACTTTTTAGCATTTATTTGTCATTGCAAAAACAAACATTAGATTTCAGTTTGTACAATTTTTAACAATAACATGTAATTATACTTAATATTTTTCTATATAATACAAATACATTTTTTAATGCAAAACTATATTATTTATGCATATCAGAGACAAATATAATTAAATTTTTGTTATTACTGTAATACTTAATGATTTACTGAATAAACTAATTGCAGGAAAAATATTTTGTTTTTCACTTTTAATTAATGTGTGGGTACTATTGGCTGTTAGCATATTTGATACAGCATCAAATTTGTACAAGTTCAGCGAGACATACAATTTCTAATTATATATATTAATTATTTTTATTTTTAATTGTATATATTAATTACAAATTTAAATTTAATCATTAAAAAATATTATTTATATGTATAAAGTAATGCTTTAATCTTGCATAATACGTGATAAAAATCTAAGGATCAATTAGTTTGGATAGGCATATGAGTGAAAAGGCAAATAATCAAAGACACGTAATATATACATAATGTTTTTCAGTAATTAAATTTAATAAAAGAATAGTATTAATAATTTTTTTGCTTAAACACTTTTACAGCAATAATTTAATTTGTGTAATCAAACAAAAGGCAGATAATAAGGGACACGTAGTGCATTTCCATTCCACGTTTTATCATCTATTTTCTTCCTTACTCAATCTGTGATGTACTATTCAAATAATTACAATAATTTTTACTTTAAATTTTTATTATTTTTAAATTCATTAAATCACAGCGAGTAAGTTTTGATTGTAGCGCAATGAGTAAATTAGATTGCGACGAAGTGCAGAAATTATTCACCGATAAAAGTTTTTTAAATATTATTTATTACAAAAAATATTAAATCCATTATGAATTAATCATTTTGAAAGTGTATTATTTTATCTAGTAATTTTTTTGGAGAATAAATATTAGCAATTATTTGTTCATAGAATAGATTGATTATAATGTCTTGAATTTGTTTTGTTCTTCGTATTCAATATTTATTATTCACAATATGATGAATTAATTTATTATAAAATTATGGTATTCTGGTTATTCCAGTTATACTTTACAGTACTCTCCTGGGCTTTCGTTTTAGTAACTCAAACAATTTTTGTAACTGATAATACCATTTTATCACTTGCTTAATTAATGAAAAAAGCAACAATTTTACTATCGCCATAACTTACACATTTGTAATCATTTTTATTCATACGTGTACAGACTTTACGGAATAATTTTCCACAGCATTATAATGTTCACAATATCGTATTTTAATTTTTAATATTCCGATTATGATATTTTGTTCATTGCCTATTTAAGATAGGTCAAATGTCATTTTTTAACAACGTAAATGATGCAAATATACTGAATTTAGACAACAGATTATATCTGATCACTACGTGATTGTTTGCTTTTCTGAGCATGATTCCTGAAGAAAGATTCTCACAATCCATATTGAGTATAAGTATTAGTGTATTATCATAAATATTATTGTAAAAGTTTTCTGCGAAAATTAATCTAATGTCATATGCGTGTACATAATTTTGATAGGCCATATATATGTGATAACAATTTTACGTGTTCTTCACGTTTAAAAAAGCACAAATATATATGTAGTGATGAAGAACCATTCAAATGTCTTATTTGCAATATGTTTTTCATAAAAATTGCACATTATAAAAGAAACATACAAAAACATATTTAAGAAAATATTTATTTAAAGATTTGTTCAAATAATTGATGAGCGAATATTTAAAAAAATCAACATATTATTAATATTCTATTATTATTAAAAATTATTACTTACGAATAAAACCAAATACTATACTTATTTTTTATTATTTTCTGAATTAAAATTATAAAATAAAAAAATATTATTGTAATTTAATCATTTGAAATATTAAATATGCGTTAAATGAATAATATAAAATTCTTAATCTCACTGAATACACTTAATAATTGTGTCAGTACTTTCGTTTGTATACTTCTTTTTTCATTATTTCAGAGTAATATAAATTTATATGATAAACTTTGACCCAATACTTACTTTGTTTCGTACTAGAAATTCAAATCAAAATGATTACTAATTAATATGCAGCATGAAATTTTGTTGACAGTCATTTACTTGCTAAATTTATATATATATAAAAAGAATTCATTTTATTGTAATTCGAATATTAAAAATATTGAATGATAATGTTTAAAAAACTTAGCTAATAGCTGAATCAATCGTTGACACGTACATCACGTAAGCAAAATTCTGGAGAATGATTACAATAAAATAAATTCTACAAAATTATTGCGCATTCTGCTTTACTCCTCAAATTCAACGCCATGATAAAGTATGAACTATCAAAGCTGGTCCATTCTTCTGTTCAAAAATATTTTTGTTTCGTAGCGTATAAATCATACAGACCTTAAAGGTAAATAATATATGAAGTTGTGATTCTCAACAAGAAAGTGGGATTCTGAAGCGTAAAATGATCATAACATGTATTTAGCAATTATTTTAACATATTTTTAATGGACAGATATGAAGTAATAAGGCAGCTTTAATAGCTATCAATGTGATAAAACACTTTGGGCAACTTTGAGAAATGTGGTATGTGAATGATGTGAATGATTGTATTTGTGATGAGATGGGATAAGATAGTGACGAACTTTTATAGACGCTATGTGGAGGATATCAGTATATCCGATCACGTCGAAGCATGAATCCCATTGATAGAGCTCAAGAAAGACCCTTGAAAGCACCAACTCCACGAGCTTAAAGCAACGGAGATCATTAACAGATCTAGGTCGAGTCAGCAAGGCTTCCAGAACACAACTTAGCGCCAAAATTAATAACCAGAAAAACAATATTAACCTTCGTGTGATATTATTTGTTTGTTACATTATAAGCGTTACTGTTATGTTGTGGATATGCGTATACGCATTTCCTACAAGTAATTAGTCGTATTCGCTGCATGCTTACAGGTATTATTTTTGATCGCAACTACTGCTAATCAAATATTAATATAACAAAATGTGTAAAAATTTTGGGTCTAAAATGTGTGTTTGCAATACTTTTCAGATGAAATTTTCCGTAGCGAATTTTTACGACTTGCGTAAACACACGCAAATATGCAAACAAATGCTAGAAGAAAGAATAGATTAAGGCAAACAATCAAAGATTATGTGACGATTTTAGCTGTCTACTCCTTACTTGGCACTAATATTTGAACAACTTACGACTGATCACAAAATCAGAAAGACTTGAACAAAAGTGTGCTCTTTGCACGCGAAATCTAGACTTCGCAGAGGTTATATCCAGTTCATTTTCGCTTTGCAGTTGAGAAAGGTCAGGTAGAGTATTACTCAGTGAGAGTAATTTTTTGGTAATTTCAGTTTACGTAATCATTTACTCTTTCACGAATAACTGCTGTCAATATCAGTTTTATCTATCATCCTTTGCGCTCTCGTCGCAACTGCTCACGCTTGTACTGCATACTGCTTAGATCAAACTTTTGCCTATTTAGTGAACTAATTTCACTACAAGCAAAATGACTTGATTTGGTCACTCATCGGTCATTGTAAGGGCACAAAAATCAAATTGAAGTTCCACTAATATCTCAATTATAGTTCATTGTTATTAGAGTTCTGAACTCATTTTATAATGCGAAATAATAGATGATAGCACTGTTGTTATCATTTCGATTCTACAAGTAAATGTGGAAGAAAAATTTTCAAATTCTTTAATTCATTATGTAAAGTCTTTTTTATCCAATTTTTTCAAATAAATTTATAATTTGAAAGTTTTTTAAATTGAATATGAAAATTTCAGTTTAAAAGTTTTTCGTATCTGACTTTTACGATAGCATGCAGTTAATTTCCACAATTTATTCAATATTTTAAGGAATTTTTCTATTCATTACTGTTTTATCGACGAAATCCGTCGCTAGAAATGAATAAATTCATAAATGCAATGCTACTGCCATCAAACCATCCGGTGGATATGAACTTCGAATAGATGTTTAATACAAAAAACGAAATACAAAATATACAAACTGAAGTCATCCGAGGCTTTTTCATATTTGATGATAATATTATCAGATTATTTTTCAACCAAATTCATATTTTCAATCAAAAATGATAAATATAAAGTAAAGAAATGCAAATTTTTGCTCTGTTAATCAGACAAAAATTCCAAAAAGCACAATTAATAATTCATTTTTGTTGCAAAGTTATTTTACTGAAAGCTTGAGAATACAAAATAACAATACAAAAATTATTAAAATTCAGGTAATTTTTAAAATTTCGCCTTTTTATGCTTATTTTACAAGCACAAAACAAATGACTGTATATTATTGAACATGCAATCATTTCTACAAAAGGTAAGTAGTACAAAAGGGATTACATGTTTGCAACACATTTGCCTTTTATGGAAATATCTCACAAAGTATGATAGCAGTGCTGTACACTCTTTAACAAGCTATATCAGTAATTCTAGCTGTACACTTTTCTTGATATCAATCTGAATTGTCTGCTTTGTAATTGATCTTCGATGAAAGATTATATCGAAATACTCTTTCAGTGTTTTTCGGAATCGGCTTCCAAATGCATAGTAGATGAAAAAATTGCATGATGAGTTAAGTACAACCATCAGATTTGATAAATCAATCAAGTATGAATTCATATATCCAAATATTAATTCCACAAAGTTTACCGCTAAAGGCTGTAATTAATATAATTAATCTAAATTTGAATAATCGGTTTATTAATTAATTAGGATTTCAAATATTGTCATTTTGCATTTTGCAATAAATAGGATCAGGAAAAAAAAGCCATTATATCCTTTTGTATACGTACAGTTCAATTAATTATTTTATTAAATTTAAAATATTTATTAAATTTTGAATATATATTTAAAGTTAACTATACACTATATAATTAATTATTTAATAAAATTTTAATTTGTGTGTGTCCAAATTAGTGTTTTAATTATTAGTTATTTCTATGGGTAAAAGTCATTAGTACTACTAACAAGTTATCAACTTAATTATTCTAAATACACTTTTTAATAAAAAATGCTATAATTGCATAAATTAATTAAAAGTAATAAAAACGTCAAAAATTAGTTATGTATGCATTTTATCACCAAAAACAGCCAATAATTTAATTAGTAAAAATAAAAAAATATGTAAATTATTTACCAAAACGTTACAGGTGATGAAAAGACAAACGACTAGTACTAGTGTTATGATATCCGAGTCACCAGAAACATCGTTAGTTTTTCTTAGAGCAAAAATTATCATAGAATTAAGTACGATCAAAATTAAGACTGGCCCCACTGCCATTATTGCTGTGTACATCCAAACATAGTAAATAGTTAAATAGAACTGAAAATATTCTAACAATATTTGACGTTTTGCTTTAAATTCCAGAACGATTTTTCTAGCAATTTAATTTTATAAATTTAACATAACTTGGAAAAGTTATCATATGGTTATCTTTATCATATCATATGATTATCTTTATCACATCATATGATTATCTTTATCATATCACACGATTATCTCTATCATATGATTATCTCTTTTTTTAGTATTAATTTGAAGTATTATATTACAGTGTAGAATTATTAGCTTCTAACCTGTTACTGCTTTTTATTTACTGCTCGCTAAATTCAGTTTTTTTAATGAGCTAAAAAATATGTAAGAATTATGGCTATGGCTAGATTTTTCCTCAAAGTTATTATTGGTTGAAACTTTGTCAATTTTTAGAGTGATCAATAAATCCCCTTGATATGAAATCAACTAAATTTATCATATATATATATATCATTTATTATATTTATATATATCAGTATGAAAATCTATAAAAATAGATAAATCAAGATTTATAATTTTGACTAATATCTTTTGACATATTGAAATTTAATGAGTATACGGCAGAAAGTTTGAATTTTTGCGTTTGAGCAGTGCTTGAAATTGCATAAATAAAAGCAATAATTGCAAGTATTCAAAAAAGCAAATAAATAATTGTCAATTTATATGTATTTTTTAAATTTATATTTGAAATGAATTCTTTTAATGAAAAGAAATTTAATTAAATTGTGAGCTACCATTTTTTAAAGTTTTCATATTTATGAATTTACGTGAAGCGTACCGGACTTTTCCTCAGAGCACTTGGACATACGTCAATACTTTCTTCATTATAAATTACATTCCAACAAGACACAACGCTTATTTCCAGCATGTGAGGAGTGTTGTAAAGCATTGCTAGAGCGATTATTACCACAAGTATCTGCAATATTCTGGATATTCACAAATTGTGAATGTCAGTATAACTTTTTTCTATAAATTTGCTTAACAATAAAAAAATTCATACAAAATTCATACAAGTTTTTATATTTAACCTTTTTATTTTCCCGCAATTCCCAACATTTTATTAATTACAGTTACGTTAGACAAGACTTATGTCATGTTACTTGTGAGTAAGTGTATGGCTTTGATAAAGTTTAATCATATCACTCTTATCATAATCACTGCTACTGATTTTGCTGATTTAGTAATTTTTTATTAGCAACTTCCATCAGTTATAAAATTAACCTTAAGTGAACTTGACGTACAACAAAAGCGTTCAATACATTTTGTATCACAGTGCACTAAAATATAGCAATCAACAGCTGCTGTAACCGTCAAAAATACTGAAAGTGACTGAGCGGTAAGGCCGAGCGGAAATGTCACTGGCACTAATGAAGCGAAGATTTTGGAAAGTAATAATGATTTAGTGCGTAAATTTTCAATGAAAAATAAGAAAAATGCAGTTATTATAATGATCATATCAGATAGTGCTAATGCACACAGGTAGATATTCATCGAGCTGAAAGATATTTTCAGCAAAAGTATTAAATATATTTTTAATAATTAAGCACATTCAAATATTATTATTGTACGTACTGTTAATATTATCGTTGTCATAAACTTATAGAATACGTAAATGTACCACACGTATTTAAACAGTAGTGAATATGTTCGTTTCATACAAATTAAGATGTTTTATTTTGTAAATTATGCTTTTTTAGTAATTTTTATTCAAAGAAACCTAAGTAAATTGTGATTATTGGACAAAAATTGAGTAAACTTTAATCTTAACTTTTAAGCTTTATAATGATTTTTGCGCTAAAAATAATAATTACATAAAGAATAAAAATTAGCAATAAGTTATCTCTAACCTACGCATACTTTTGCGGCTGTAGATAAATGCGGATATGCTATTACCAAACAAGCCAAATGATCCAATCGTTGGTAATAATATGTTAATTACCACCTGACAGTAACGAAGCAATTATATTTAAATTTTTTGTGTAAGTTTAATGCAGTTTTGATGCATGAAAGTATTGACATCCTTTACTAGTACTATTTTTTTGATAATAATAATAATAATAATAAAGTATAAGAATAGAATAATAATAATACTGAATGCCTTTTTTATTATGTACAAAATTTCATGATAATTACAGCTATTATATCAAAGTTTCGTTTTTCAGATAAGAATATAGAATACTGGGATGAATTATTAATGCTAATTACTATCTTGAGAACGAAATCAAGATTCTGCTTTCAAGACTACTTCTTTATTTGTGATCAGTAGTGCAGTGATAATAAATTTGCATGCAGAGAAATGCCATAAATATTCTCTAAATTTCTTTTTACCTCAAAATAGTGTGAAAAATAATTAAATTTATTTTGTATATCTTTTCTATAAATATCAAAAATTATAAATTAGTCAATTTATGAAAGATTTAAGCTAAATTTTTCCTGTTTTTCATTGACATTTTAAGTTATTTAATTTGTATTAATTTATGCTATTTAATTTATATTAATGAAATTTTTATAGTAAACAAAATAAAATTTAATTAGATTAATCTGTATAAAACTTTGAAAAAAAATATCAAAACACTTAGCATATCTGACTGGACTAATCTGAAAGTTAACAGTTATTAATTACTGATTTAATCAAATTTATCAAAAATTTTACCATACCAAATTATACACTTCATAATTATGATTTGGTTTCGCTGGTGCATTTAAATTGTAGCAATATCCACAGACCGGTAGACCATTGCAGTGACCATCGTTTACCGTAACATTTGTACAAATAGATCGGTTAGCGAATTCCATTTGTTGCTAATGCATCATTTCAAATTAATACTGGTATTCAAGATGAACTGAAATTTTGATATAAATCAAGTTTCTAGTTCAAGTTTGATACAAAGTAACACAATCAGATCATGTAATTGCGTCAGAAAAGAAATGAGATAGTTTCTGAGAAAAATTTTTTAATTTACAAGTTATTTAGAGCATTTTTAATAAATAGCAAAAGCTTTCTGAGAGATATTACAAATCAATAAAATTTATTGGTTGAGATTCAATGAAAGGCAAAAGTCTAATAAATGAAAGTATTAGTTCTAGCTTTTTCATAGAAGCCAACGAAAGTATCTCTTAGAAAGTATCTATCTATCTATCTTAAGACTGATAAAATTTCAGGTAAGACTTAATTTGTAATACCTATGTGTTATGCAAGAAATTAAGTATCTATCTATCTATCTATCTTAAGACTGATAAAATTTCAGGTAAGACTTAATTTGTAATACCTATGTGTTATGCAAGAAATTAAGTATCTATCTATCTATCTATCTTAAGACTGATAAAATTTCAGGTAAGACTATTCTTGGTTTTGCTGCTAAAAAGTACTTTCATAAACAAGCAAGTTATTTTAGAAAAGTGTCTTTCGCATTGAAAACTGAAAAAAATACCTAAATTAAGCACTAATAAATTAAATGCACACAAAATGACATTTTTCACGCGAAAACTTTTAATTATTAAACGTTAACTTTTCTTCTTTTGAATTGAAAATATAATATAGTGTAATTAAATTGATGTCATTAAGTTTAAAAATGTAAACTTTGCTGTTTGCTTTGAATTTTTTATAATATTAAAAGTGAACAAAAGCGATTCTTTCCATTAATCCATTACAAGTTATTGTATTATTTTCTGTTCAAAAATGCATAACTTTCTACAAGGTAGTATTATTTATTACAATTTATGTACAGTACAGCGTTGATCTATGCATAAAAATAAGCAGAAAAAACTGATTTAAACATAAATTAAAATATAAATTAAAATTAAAAATATAAATATAAATTAAGAATTTTATATGAATAGAAATACTCATAAAATAGAGCTTAAAATAAAATTTGAAAGAATTAAATGACAAAAAAGTCAAAATTATTAACTGTGTACTTTAATTTTTCGCTCGCAATAATAATTTTGATAACTTTGAAAAATTAAATCATTTCCAATTTCATATAAAAGTTTTAATACTTTTTTGAGTTCAAAATTAATTATTGCAATGCTAAAATTTTAAACTATTTGAATTTGTTTTACAATAGCGCCATATTTATTCTTTGTTTTTATTTCGAGTTTTTGGCAAAATATAAAATTGAAATAATCCGAAAAAACTACACAATTTCTAATTTCATTGAAAAATGACAAGTTTAGCATTTGAAAAATTTTTGCTAACCTTTTATAAACATTATCATTACTCTATGGTTATTATTATTAATATTATTACTATCGAATTTCAAACAGTTATTATCACTGACATCATTATTAATACTTTTTCGTTATCATCATTAATATTATTGATATTATTATTACTATTATTATTGTTTTTATTAATATTTTGTCCCTAATCATTACTTTGAGGAACGAAACAGAAGACGAAAACTGATTTTGTTTTCTACTTAAAGAAAAAAAATTTTGCTTGAAGCTTAATCAGATTTTATCTTTTTTAAGCATAAGTGCTAAAGATTTAAGCATGTTTACAACGTGCTTAAAATTGCCTAAAATCTCGAATTTTATTCTTAAAATAATGCAAAATAGTAAGCAAAAATAATAATATTGCTGAAAACGCTCTTAAATTGGCATCTCAACCTTATCGCACTAACTAAGTGAATATTAAGAATATATTTTGTTTAAAAATTAGCAATTATAGCTCTGTATTTTTGCTCTTTCCAATAAAATATTTTTAGTACAAATTTAATTTTATAATTTTGCATAAAATTAATTATAAATCTTTTTAGTAATAAATCAAAATGTTGAAATTAATAAAAAATAAGATGCTCTTTGCACCAGTAAATCTTATCCGTAATAACTGATTTCAACTCATTAATTAATGCTCCTAGTTCATGAATACTAGCTAAATTAGAATACGTCGATTTTTTCAAATAATTATCCGTTACTCGAAGTGCCAAATTGATGAACGTGAAGGTAAAGTAAGTCGAAAATGATTCTGTCTCGAATTTTTGATTTCTTTTGAGGCTAAATTTTAATGCTCTCAACAAATCTCATTCAACTCTCTCTCCTTCTTAATGAGAAACGACGACAGCACCATTATCACAGCCTTCTGATAAGACAAACTGATAAGTGATAAAGCCACAGCGTGACACTGTGCTTGAAATTGAAGAAGCTTTTGACTGCAAAAAAGTTGAAGTATTGAAAGTTTGTGGACTGCAAATAAATGTGCTTTGCTATAAAATTTTCATATTTTTAATCACATTTTAATCAAAGATGACAGGAGGATTAGCAAAGTGCGTAGATATTTTATTGAGTTCAAGTAAGTATTTTTTCATTTTTTATCTGTGAACATTGAAAACTATCATAATTTTAATTTTATGAAGCCAACTAGTAAGGTATTTCGCGAAGCAAACTTTGATTTAGTTAATTGATGAAATAACTGAAAATAATTAAAACGTAAGATTTTATGTGCTAACGTAAGATCAAATTTTGACGTGAGATTTTATCGTAAGATTCAGCATAAGATCAAATTTTGACGTGAGATTTTTACATGCTTTAAAAACTGTAAATGAACATTTTTATTCTTTGTATATAAGATTGCAAATCTTGTAAAATGTTAAATCTAAAATTAGTAAAATTTAATTGAAAATCACAAATTCATATTAAGCATTACTTTTATAATTGTATTGATTAGCAACGAAAATTCTTAATTTAAAAATAAAATCCTGTCAATACTTTCATGATTGTTCGTCCAGCAAGATATTTTCTATAGAAATTAATCTATTTTTATTTAATAATCTATTTATACCAATGATCATTTCTATCATTGATTTATTTTGATCATTACTGAAAATAAATTATTGATAATTCAATCAAAAACATTATTGATTAACTTATTAATAATCATAATTAAATCAATAATGTTTTTCTCAATAATCTATTTTTATCAACAATACATTATCTTTTTTTGAGTTAATTAGTCGCTAAAAATGTTAATACGAGACTTATAACCAAAAGCTACCAAAAAAAAGAATTACAGTTTTAACGATTAGTTAAAGAGATAATTTTGTTTAGACACAAAATGTTAGAATTAGTAGTAAAGTATAAGAAGTAAGAAATAAGCATAAACTATTTGCATTTGAAAATGTGAGAATTTTGTAAGCAAAATGCTTTTGAAGGAAAATGTAATAATGAAACGTAATTGTATTTTCTTTAAAATAAATATTCATGACGATAAATGGATAAATTTATTTTAAATCAGTTTGCAGAAAATAAACATATTTTATCTCATAAGTATTGCATATTAATAAAGTAACACTTATTCAAATATTCATAATTGCTAAAATTTGAGTCGACAATATAGCGTAGAACTAATTTTCAGTTCACTGATTCGTGTTTTAACGTTTAGACACGTCTGTGCTAACTATGCATAAAGTAACAAAATCCAGTAATTGAATTTGAAAAATAATAATTATATTTTAAATTTTGAAATTAAAAACTTTATTTCTCCACATTTTTGAAATGTGAAAAACTTAAAATAGCAGAACACTTGAAGTGAGATAAGTGATATTTTTGCATTTCTGAAATAATTTCAAGTTCATTATTGCAGTACATAATTTTGTCATTCTTTATGATGTCTGGGAAGAATGAAGTAAGTTCTGAATAGTAGCTAAGTTTAGTAGAGTTATAAGCTAAAACGTAATTACAATGATAGCATAATTTATAGATCACACTAAATCTTCACATATCCTAGCTGAACTAACATTTTATGTTGATTAATTAATAAGTAATAAGTGACAGAATCATACTCGAAAACACCATTAATTGTGATATAAGCTATTGTGTCACACAAAAAACCTTTCAATATTGCAATTATCAGCCTTGAAATTAAGATGACACAATTTAGTAATTAAGTAAATGAATTAGCGATTTAATATTTTTTGACTTTATTTCTCGCGTTAAATTTGATGCTCGTTTTACTTTCAGCTCTGCGCAATACAGACTAAGTAAAGGGTGAGATATACTCTACCTAATTTAATTTAATTTTTCAAACGAATGCTTGTTTCAATTAATAATTTAATAAATAGTAAGTTCGCATAAACTTTGAGAATACTTGCTTTATCGCATCACTCAACTATTGCCATAGTGAGGAATTCAGTAGCTTAAAAAAGACTTAGCTTCATTCTAGCTTAGTCTAAATATTTTAAGTCAATAATTGTAACTCACAGACAAATATAATATCAGTAAATGCTAGTCTAACTTAAAAATTAAAATTGAAAAAAAGAAACGTAAGCAAAAAAGTGGGCCAGTTTATTCACTAGAGTATTCTTCGAAACGTTTGCTATAGCAACAAATATAAAACATTTTCTAGCAATTGTTTTAGTTTGAAAATATTATGAAAAAAATTATAGAATATGATCCCACGAGAATCTTTAAAACAAACCATTTATTTATTTGAGGAAATGTTATCAATGAAAAAATAATACCAATTAATATTCTTCCTTTACATACTAAAAGTAAAAGTAAAAGTAAAAAGTTGAAGTTAAAGTTAAAGTTAGAGTTAAAACGGTTATTTATTACTTCACTTTTGCATATTTGACAACAAACGCTTCAGCAAATAATACAACACATAACTACTAATCACAGATTGCAATAATACAGCCATAATTTCAGTGCATTGCAATAAAATTTCATTCTATTTAAATAATATTTACTACAAAGAAAGTTATTACTTCTTTGCAATAAAGTAATGTGTAATTTTTTCTAAATCTAACTACACATTGAATATTTTATTGCGTCTGCTGAAAGTGAAAGAATGCTAAAACATGACTTTCTAAAACGACTGAATAAAACAGTATAATAAAACAGTACTCATTACAAATGCTAAAATGTTTTTCAGCCAAGTAACCAGCGATTCATTCCCGTGGTGACAATTTCAATTGCGAATCATATAGAGTTTACAGTTTCATACTCTTAAAAAAAACTATAAACAAAATGAATAAAAGGCCAAATCTTATGTACAAAACAAAGGTTTTTGAGAAAAATGAACGGAAAATTAACTACAGTTTGATGACTTCAACTTAATTTCAATCAAGATCAATATCGCTTAAAAATTGCGAACATTCTTCGCTGCTTAAAACTGAGATCAAATCAACTGCTTGCTCTGCGAGACGTCGATTAGCAGCTTGTCGCAATCTGCACATATACTGTCGTATTTGATCTGGTGTGCTCCGACTAAAATAAGTTTCTAGCTTCTCAATTGCGACATTTCGATCAAGTGAATTCGGTAACGTTTGCGATGCAGTGGTGTTAGACAGCAAGCCTGTAAAAACTAATCATAATTTCAATCAATGGTAGAAAGAATGCAACTAATTTTTATTATTTATAGACCATTTCAAAATTTAATGAAACAGCCTTTAAAAGCTAGCTGTGCAGCAAAAATAATACGTGGATAGATGGTGAGTGTTAATTTTGGCAGTTTTTCTTTATCGATACCAAACTATACTTAACATTACGAAATAATACTAATACAAAAAACTTATCGTTCATGATCATTATTAAATCTTGAGCAACAGTCAAAAAACTGGGCTACTGATTACAGACAAAACGGAAATGAAAAGTCTATACTTCATGAAAGGTACAGTCATTTAAATTGCTAGCTTTACCCAGTACAAAAATTCCATCCCAGCCCGCTCATCATTTGTAAAACATATCTGAAGACTCAGGAATTAAACAAATTTGCTAAGACTGAATGGTGACTTTACTTTGCTTTCATGACAGCATTAAATGAAAAATTTTCTGCAACAATTTACCAGATTCGGAATTAGCGAAGTGCAATTCTTCGGTGCTTATAATCGTTGTGCTTACACGATTGGGGCTTTCTACTATTGGCTCCACTGCTGGACACGCAGCTGTAGTATCCATTTCAATTCTCGTGTCACAATTTTGTTTTTCAGCACTGTCGGAATACTGTGATGTCGCATTCAAAAACAACTGCTTTAGATATTCTGTGTAATTGCTCGACTCATCAACTGATTCCAATTCCTGTAACCTTTCAAAATTTTGCTTTCAAAATTTAAAAAAAATGAATGAAAACACTGAAAAACTCACCTTTTTTGGTATTTTCATTTGTAATTCTTCCTCGTTCGACACTTTAGTCATTTCCAATAAACGTTTCAATTTATTTGGAGCTGCTGGACCACTTGCTTCTTGTTCTGGAATGTGTGAAACAGAGTTAGAAAAAAAACTTTTAACAAATAATACTTTCTACATAATAATAATAATAATAATAATAATAATAATAATAATAATAATA